TCAGCGTCATGAGCGGGATTCGAACCCACATCTTTCGGCTAAATACGCTGCTGCACTACCACTTGAGCTATCATGACTTCGTTCCACTCGGACACTAACTTCCCATCTCGAGCCGAAGATCGAACTTTTTTATCTAACTCAATACCTTACTTAAAGGGTAAACAACAATATTAAATTAATAACGAAACAGTCTCAGAATATTTGTGTGTGCGTGCGTGCGTGCGTGCGTGCGTGCGTGCGTGCGTGCGTGCGTGCGTGCGTGCGTGCGTGNGTGTGTGTGTGTGTGTGTGTGTGTGTGTGTGTGTGTGTGTGTGTGTGGTGACCTAGACAATTTTCATTGGAAAATCAAACGCTCCATAACTTGAGACAAGTACAATAGATACAGATTACAGAATCGATACGTTTTTCTTTCATAGTTCTGATGCTGCCGTTTCCTGACAGTTGATATACATTCTCCCAAATTTTTCATGTAACATCCTTCATAGCCCTGATTCTAAATGATTCAGCAATCATTGATCGTTTGTGAGATTTCTGATCTATAACTGGGTAGTTTCAGATTGAGTGATTGATCCAGATAATGCGATGTAATTCCAATGTAGCTAGACAGTTCATACTATTAATTTTATAAATTACATCGTATTTGTAGGCTGTGGTATTGTGTAGACAAAAAACTGTGTGTACTATTTTGTGGTTTTTGAAAGCTACTTTAATTTGGTTTGTGGAGAAAAATGTGCTTAATTTGTGTGGACGAAAAGAATGGACATTATATTTTTTGTTTTTGTGTGATTGGGTTGATGACGAATTGTGTACTGCGGAGGATGTTGTTTTGTGTAGTGTTGGGTTGTAATTGTTTCTGATTCTGTTAATTATGTTTTTTAGGCAGCTGTTTTTATGTTACAAACACATCTTACATAGAAATAACTACCCTGAAAACATAATTAACATCATCATCGTCTCATCACTTACTAGGCCAAACTCTGCGGGACAATTAGTTAAGTGTTGCTTAAGCTGTAAGGTAAGAGAGTTTGAAAGTCGTTGAAATTGATGCCGGTGGCGATTCTATGAACTTATGTTTCGGAACTCGGTAATAAATATCTTCCTCTGGGATTAAGGGCTATGCAAACGACCATCGAGAGGCCGACATCCGCCACGGCCGCCTCGGAGGCCCCATCGATTACATCGAAAATCTATACGGAACAGTCGTAAATAACTAATTCTAAAGTCGTATAAATACAGGCGTTTCTACCATACAGCAATGGGAAGAGGATTCAATGTATGTAAATTAGTCGTTCACCCAGGAGTGACACATTTAATGGGATTCGTGCTTACAATTCATTTATCTTCCGGGCTCGGAAACGGCACGGATGTACAAACGGAGAGGCCGAGATTTACAACATGTTACGAAAAAAATTGGAGGGGTTTTTTCCTATGATTATAATGCGTGGCCATTTGACCTCTTGTCACATACCATTAAGGCCCAAATTCCGCCGATGCATCTGCTGAAGATTGCCTGACATCAATATTAAGAAATACCTAAACATGATGTGATAGGTTTTAATCAAATAGAAATGATGCAGCTATTCAATTTGATATAATAAATTGATTGTCAAAAATGTTAATTAATCGAGAAATGAACCCGGATAGAAAAAGAGATCTCTCAAGGAGACAGCAGGAAAAACATTTAATTCTATCAGAAATCAGACCAATACGATCAAAATATTTCGGTCTATCAATTTCAATGCTATCTTACTAAATAAAATATTCACCACTGAAGACGCCCTTGAATCAACAAGCGAGAATAGACAGCCCCAGAAATGTGATCCGTATCGATCAGATCAATATTAATGATTCGAACACATCAACGTGAACGAAGAAATGGTTGGAGAAATAGAAAATATGGAAAGGATGAGAAAAGAAGGTAAAAGAAAGAGAGAGGGTGAGGGTGAGAGAGGGATAAGGAGAAGGAGAGAGGGAGATGACTAGAGAGTGAGAGGGGTGAGAAAGAGGGAGTGACGAGGGAGAGAGAGAGAAAAAGAGAAACTCTCTATCACATAAAGTCCATCTCCTGGGGAGTCCTAATGACCAAATCTATATATGCCTATAAATATTTATGTGTGTGTATGTGTATGAAAGAGAGAAAGTGTGAGAAAGAGAGAGAGGGTGAGTGTGTGTGTGTGTGTGTTTTGTGAGAGAGAGAGATAGGAAAGAAACAAAAGAAGCTGAAGATAATGTTGATATAGTTTAACTACTGGAGTGAACGTGTACACCCACAGCCAGTGCACATACGCTTCCTCCAGCTTTTTTGCGGGCAAATTTTGCATTACTTCACTAGCGTATTAATTACTATCGTACACCAAAATCAAAACCCAACACCAAAACCCCCAGGAATTCAAAATGAATATCACAAATTTAATCAATACTAAAGAGGATAGTTGACCTAGCCATTTGTTAAATTGTATTTGCGAGTATAATCTACATTCCGGGCTATAAAGTAATTATATAAGACTGGAGTGTTTGTTGTAATGGTTCAATGGTCTTCTTTTTTTTTCGAAAGTTTAAACATCCAAAATAATGTTTAAACAACAGCCAAAGAAACCTCTGGATTGGAATTTTCGTGAGAGATTATTGTAAAATATCCTGAAAGGTCACCAGGACGTCTTAGACAAACTCAGATTCGAATCAATCCTTCCAATATTTAAAAGTCAGATTAACCTATTGAAAAAAGTCGACGGAGAGCCCGCATGAGCCAAACTACCCGACCGAAGCTTTAATTGCATATCACCGTGAACAGCATAATTTAATGAGACGCGAAAATTGTAAATCAAGCCACCCAGTGAGTGAAGCTATCAGATAGCGACTTCGTTCCTCCATTTGTCCTAGATCACGACAAACGGCGAACGAAGTCACAATTTGATAGCTTCACTCACTGGGTGATATTAGATTCTGAGGTACTTTTCTTCGAGATCGCGCGGCACGGCCCTAATCAATTCATCGATATTATCTCAGTTTTTAGATGATATAACCAATGACCCTATTCATTTGTCCCGTTTGTACACTCCACTTTAGTGATCCTTTCTGACAGTGATATTGACCAGACTGTTTTAGTTGATAAGTATTGGGATTGGACAATGATGGTGCTCCTAGTAGGACGGCATTGGTTCGCCCGTTAACGCCGGGTTCTAAGGATGGTTTATCATAAATCAAACATTACTCACTTTCACGAATCGTTACAGTCTGGGCAACCTTAGAAAATAGACCAAAATCTGCTGAGGGAAAAAAGAGTAAAGAAGAAGATAAAGACCCAACACCCACAATAGATGCCACCAAAATACTATATAATTGGGAAAAAAACGAAAGATTTATATTTTAAACTTTGAGATTTTTCTTGGGGTCTGCGCGGTGAAAGGTTACCCCTTTCGAGTGATGGTTGTTGATGACCAATTTATTGAAAATGATTATTATGTAGCTAATGCTTTTGCCAAAGTTTTTGAAAAATATTTCACCCCTATGAATTATTCATTTGTCCCGTTTGTACACTCCACTTTTGTGATCCTTTCTGACAGTGATATTGACCAGACTGTTTTAGTTGATAAGTATTGGGATTGGACAATAATGGTGCTCCTGGTCTTGACAATGTCCCTGCTCTTATTTTGAAACGTTGTTTGTGATTTGGTCAAACCGTACATTTGTTGTTCAAAAATTCTTTACCTGAGTTTGAAAAAGATCTTTTGTAATACCTGCCCTTACAAAATGAAATAGTTTACTTGTTAGTAATTACTAATTACCGCCTGATTACGAATAACTTCGTTTGTGTCTTTACTCGCAATCAGAATCTATCAAATCAATTTTCGTGTTTAGTAAATAAGACTTTTAACTTGGATTTGTTTCCAGTAAGTGAACTACCACAATTTTTTTTATTTTTTCAAAAATTTATTATCATTAATATAGAAATTGTTTCTTAGGTTGATGTTATTTACATTATTTGACAAAGGCATTTCATTATGTCCACCACACGAGATTATTATTTAATATTTATCCATTTATGTTTATTGGTCTAATAGACCAAATTACTTATTTCAATTAATTATTCTTTTTATGTAAGGTATTGGTTGAGATGAAAAAGTTAGCGTCATGAGCGGGACTCGAACCCATGACCTTCAGCTCGGCCATTGAAAAATTATCGATTAATTACACGTTCATCACACAGCAGACTACATGGAAAAATTTCAATTTTTTTGTACGGCTCAATTTGTTTTTTTTTTATATTTCGTAACTTCTTCGATTATTTTAGATTTTGTACGTTTTAATTATTCCCTAATCAGCAATTTTAAACTTTCCCCTACCTTTTTTCGGACTTTTGTATTATGATTCTTTTAAGCAATCATTAGTCTCATATATCGTCAAAGAATAATAAAATAATATTTTGGTATTTATATGTTTAGTTGTTGACTGTTTATCTGTCGAACCAATTAAAATCTAATGCAAAGTCTAAATAAGTCCTAATTAAGCGACGAAAAAATTAATTTGCAGTGAGCGTACACTGCACTTGTCCACTTGTCCGAAGGATTTACTTACACTTATCATAGTTTCCAAACAATTTATATGTAAAGTCGTTTGCATTTTGTATATTTACTCAAAATATAACTAATTTTCGCCATATTAAACCAGTATTAATCTTTCCTTCAATACACAGTAGATGTTTTTCTCACTGCCAAAGAACCACAGACCTAGAATCAAATTATTTAAAACATCCGGTCGTTCGAAACTTAAGATAATTGACAAGTTAACTCACTGCCTTCCCTCGGGGATCACGAGAAAGCCCGTTGGTCATAAATCCCCGAGGTGGCCTTTCTCCAGCAACGTTGCAACAAAATAATTTACTCAATGAAAATATTTTTGTTAAACATTTATCTCTCACAGAAATAAAAATGAATTTTTTTAAATACAATATGCAGTCTTACAGCCGACGAATTGTAATGATGAGAATCGTTTTTATTTTCAGAAAGATGAGTTTTTTGGAAAAGTGGGATGCTGGTTGAAAACACTGACAGGAGAGATTGATGGTGCTCCATTATAGCTGTAAAAGAGGTATTTCCCCCCAGATGCCCGTGTAATATTTATACCATTTACTGTATTTTTCATATATCATTGTACTCTGTAATAAAAGAAACTAAATAAGTAAATTTGTACATGTATTTCCCCCAGATGATATAGGTACCTTAATTTATATCACTTAATATATTTTTTTAATATATCGTAATGCTCTGCAACAATGGAAACTAAACTTAAAAAAATTATGAATGTATTTTCCCCAGATGATATACCTTATTATGTTTTTATATGTCGAAATGCTCTGGATCAAAGGAAACTAAAGAAAAAAAATTGTGCAAAACAAGTATAAAACTATTTATTTTCCAAGTTTAATCGGCAAGAACGATCATATTGTTCTGAAAATTTGTTCAACAATTCTAGTCAACAAAACCTACAGAGTATAATTATTCAGAAATCGTGAGTTGCGGTCTGGGGTGATGTAGGTTTCAGAAAAATATTTTCTTTATCGTGCCAACGTTTCGATCTTTATTGAGATCATCTTCAGGGCTCAAAGTGTTTGTCTTCTGTGTAATTGTGCCATTCTTGCGTGTCGTGTTGAGAGTGCCCAAGTGGCGGAACCACCAACACGTCTACACGGAAAACAAACACTTTGAGCCCTGAAGATGATCTCAATAAAAATCGAAACAATTAATTAAGGTTTTTAGTTGAGATAAATTATTAATTAATAATATATGAATTAATTGTAATATATTAATTGGTCAAGGTCACAACGAAATTAGTGAATTTAAAAAATCGAAACGTTGGCACGATAAAGAAAATGTTTTTCTGAAACCTACATCACACCAGACCCCATCTCACGATTTCTGAATAATCATCGACTTACGGCCACTAATCACCACACGTATCTTTCAAATAAAATTACGAAATAGCACAACCGTACAATAGGAACGTCCATTAGCAGATCCTAGTCCATGTTAATGTCGAGGGTACTAGTATTTCCAAAACAATTATCAACATGATTAAATTATTAGTTTATTGACGATGTACAAAAAGAAACAATCTTTTAAAATGCGCAATTCACAATAAAGTTCTTTATCATTAGTAATTGTCTTTAGTTTTATAGGGTTGTTAGCTATTAACGATTTTTTGATGTGCACAAAATAGTAGTAGTAATAATAAATAATAGTAGTAATAGGCTGCCATCGATGTTAATCTTGATTATCTTCTACTTTATTTATAAATAACGTAAATGTTATCAGGCTTAGCTAACTTCGTCAACAAACGGGTAACCTCATTTGGTGGTAATTTGTCTTTAAGATTCATATTTACGTGTTATGTTTGTCCACAATGTAGAACCTTTTTTTCTTTTTTAATGTAGCTAAAATGACCACGCTATCCGTCAAAAGATAGGCCGTCCCCATCTAGTGTAATTTGAGAAAAATAAACGTCTTAATTGGCCTTCGGCGTCCTCACCTCCTCCTTGATCCTATCCGGCGGGTGTTCCCGGCCCAGGAAATGGAAACGAGAAAATTTCTAGTTATGTAATTTACAAAAGTGACAAACCCGCGGTTGATGGAGGGGTTGCCGGCCATCTTAGGCCCTGCTCAATTACATCCGGGGGACGGAAGCCAATGGCATTGCGCGTTCCAGCAGCCGTCATAGCGAAACTGGACGCTTCACACGGTGAAAGCCAATTTCGACAAAAGAAATCAAAAACCCGAGTTTGGAATGAACACCCCCAACCAAACTTGCGGACATGCGCCAAAGACGTAAGTCTACTCATTTATTAATTAACACTATTGTAGCCATCAAATAAACCGCTTAAACAAGAGATATTTTGTGGGGTTTCTTCATGGTGTCTGCGGGATGATGAAACTTCAGTTTGGTTGTTCCCGATCATCTGCCTAACCATCTCTAATCATCCAAATTTTAATAACATTTTTCCAAAAAAACTAACATGTTTATCATTTTTACTCGAAAAATCACTACCTGAACGGTTTATAATTTACTTTTCTACCCAGTAGCATGGGATATACGCTGACAGACAAAAAATTCCACCCACTTATATTATAACTTGATTTGTATATATTTTTATATATTAATCAAAGTTTCAAGTTTTTTAAGTTTAATAATTGAGTTTTTGTCTAAATAAGTAAAAAAAATGTAAATTGCAAATGAAAATGAAAAAAGACGGTCAGACTAAATTTGTTTTAATTAGATTTTTAATTGACATCTCAATATTGCGAATTTGCGCGAAATATCTCATTGCTGGAGGTTAGCCCTGCTCAATTACATCCGGGGACGGAAGCCAATGGCATTGCGCGTTCCAGCAGCCGTCAAAGCGAAACTGGACGCTTTACACGGTGAAAGCCAATTTCGACAAAAGAAATCAAACACCCGAGTTTGGAATGAATACCCCCAACCAAACTTGCGGACATGCGCCAAAATCGTAAGTCTACTCATTTAATTAATAAATAGCCAACAATTAAACCGCCTAAACAAGAGATATTTTGTGGGGTTTCTTCATGGGGTCTGCGGGATGATGAACCTCCAGTTTGGTTGTACCCGATCTTTTCGGTCTGTCTAACCATCCCTAATCATCCAAATTTTAATAACAATTTTCCAAAAATACTAACGTTTATCATTTTTACTGTAAAAATCACTACCTGAACGGTTTATAATTTAATTAGCCCATTTTTCACGATGACTCCTTTCAAGATCGTGGAGAGTATCAGGAAATGATGGACGTGCTCTTTACTCGTCTTTTGTGGTTATACCATAAATGTCCGATGGGGTTCAAGTCCAGAGAACGGGGTAGACAGGCTAAGACCCTGATGTTATGCTGTTGAAGGTACAATTGTACTATGCGAGGGATATGCCGAATCGATCGAAGTCACGATAGCTCAAGTGGTACAGCAGCGGCGTATTTAGCCGAAGGTCGTCGGTTCGAATCCCGCTTGTGATACTGACTTTTTATCACAATCAAAACCTTAATTGAAGATTAATCAATTGAAAAGAATTTATTTGGTCAATCGGACCACGAAACCTAATAGATTTGTAAATAATAATGAAACAACATAGGCGCATACTAGTCAAATTGGATAATAAATTATGTGAATTATCAGTCATCAAAAGTTATATAAAACTTCACCAAAACCTTAATTAATTGAAAGGAATTTATTTGGTCAATCGGACCACGAAACCTAATAGATGTAATAAGCAAAATTAAGTATACTTCACTAAGCTCTCCGTGGCCATTTCATTTGCCGCCGAGAATCAAATAGATTACACGACATTTGAAAATGGCAAAAAGAAGGGAAAATTCGAACGGTTGTAGATTTAAATGGAGAGTTATAGATCAGAAATCTCACAAATGATCAATGATTGCTGAATCATTTAGAATCAGGGCTATGAAGAGATGTTACATGAAAAATTTGGGAGAATGTATATCAACTGTCAGGAAACGGTAGCATCAGAACTATGAAAGAAAAACGTATCGATTCTGTAATCTGTATCTATTGTACTTGTCTCAAGTTATGGAGCGTTTGATTTTCCAATGAAAATTGTCTAGGTCACCACACACACACACACACACACACACACACACACACACACACACACACACACACACACACACACACACACGCGCGCACACAAATATTCTAAGACTGTTTCGTTATTAATTTAATATTGTTGTTTACCCTTTAAGTAAGGTATTGAGTTAGATAAAAAAGTTCGATCTTCGGCTGGAGATGGGAAGTTAGTGTCCGAGTGGAACGAAGTCAGTACAGCTCAAGTGGTAGAGTAGCGGCATATCTAGCCGAAGATCGTGAGTACGAATCCCGCTCGTGACACTCACTTTTTTATCTCAACTAAAAACCTTAATCAATTGAAATATATTAATTGGTCAAGTGGACCACTAAAACTAGTGAATTTGATAGAAGATTACCTTTGGAATCCACACACACGATTAAAAAAAACATTTAACAAACGATTTAAAATGCTTTATTACCTACTCAACCGACAACTAAAATTACCATTAAAATCAAAACTTTCGACATACACATACCTACTCAAACCTATTTGGATAACGGGTGCCATAAGCTTATGGATAGGCGAATATTTCATTATTCAACGATTACAATGTTTTCAATCCAAAATTTTAAGTTTAATTGTTTCTGCCCCTTTTTGCGTAAACGATAACAAACTTCATAGTTCTTCTCATGCCAGTATTTATATCCATCAAAACATATTACAGACGTTTTTATAGTAAATTACAAAATCACACTAACACACAAATACGATTACTACAACCCTCACTATTACGACGTATAATTCTGTCTTGTACACCTAAGTCCAAACATTATGTAGTACTTGGTCGTTACCGGTCATTTCGGTCTGCCTGTCACTCGAGTGAGTTTTGTTTACAATATACCATAAACCTTCATTGATTTTTCAGATATTCGCATAATTTGACGAGTAGAGTTTCGCAATCTATTTGTAATTATTTAATTCAGGTTTGATTATTCCGTCTTTATTTTGCACGATTGCACCAAGGTAACATCTCGTGACTGGTTAATAGGACGATTTTCATATGCACAGTACAATTTCGTTAGAAATGCCCCTATAATAGTTTCTCAGAGCTCTCTGCTTAGGCATAATGACACCTGAACGGCAGCAGTTAACTTCATAATCTCCTTGATCCCTTACAAGTTGGAATTTCCGGTCCCCAGAGGAAAAAGGAACACTAAAATTAATATTGGAGGAAATAAAAATTCAACTATTATTGTATTTTACTTTTTCATCTTGAATGTAGTTTTCATTTGTACTAATCATACAGGGTGACTGGCGATAAGTGTCGCATGCAAAATTTATGGGCTTTCCAAGCGCAATGGGGTTATACCGCTGGAAGCTAATTGTGAATAGAGAATTTATGACGGAATTTGCAAAGCTTCAGTAGTTTGTAGTTATTCGTTAGTTATCATAGTTACCAATCGAACATTTAAAAAAAAATTAATTAAGGTTTTAGTTGAGATAAAAAAGGCAGTGTCATGAGCGGGATTCGAACCCACGATCTTCGACTAGATACGCCGCTGCTCCACCACTTGAGCTGTCGTGACTTCGATCCTCTCGGCCACTAACTTCCCATCTCAACCCCACCTTTTGAATTTTCCCTCCTTTTTGCCATTTTTCAAATGTCGTGTAATCTATTTGATTCTCGGCGACAAATGAAATGGCCACGGAGAGCTTTAGCTCAAGTGGTAGAGTAGCGGCATATCTAGCCGAAGATCGGGGGTTCGAATCCCGATCGTGACACTGACTTTTTTATATCAACTAAAAACCTTAATTAATTGAAAGATATTAATTGGTCAAGCTGACCACGAAAACTAGCGAATTTTAAAAAAATTTCTACATTTTTGTTTTTTCTGAGCTTGTCGGGCAGATTTTTTTCATCAATTCTGCAATTTAAATAGGTTTCCTTAAAGCAAATTTAACGTTCTTTCAGGTGGCACAAACCAGATTTTTCTACAATCAGTAATTCTGAAGTTTATAAGCAATTTAGTGGACCTATGTCGAAACATTAAAAAACACCCAAAACCTAAAATTACTTCTTTACGATGTTTTCTTATATTTCGACCTCAACAGTTTAACTTATGATTTTTCCTTATTGAATTCTTCCCACCGTCAAGAAGGAAAAATCATAAGTTACTACTTTACTGTTGAGATTTGGACGGGGGTTTATAGGTTTATCGCCAATCACGCTGTATAAAGCCAATAAGTCTCTGTTTTTAATTCACTAGTTTCGTGGTCCGCTTGACCAAGTAATATCTTACAATTAATTAAGGTTTTCAGTTGAGATAAAAAAAAGTCTGTTTTTAATGTTTTTTTATGTGAGTTTATGGCGGATGAATTCAAGTTTAAAAATGATTGAATTTGATGCTTACAATCATCCCTTAGTCATCAACCTAAAAATAGTTTGCATACTTTATTGAAATGAGGACTTCGCCATTCGATACTAGTTCAATTTTTACTCGATGATTTTTTATTACATCCTTTTGGCAAGTTATTAGGAATAAGGTATTAAAAATAAAAATCTGAGAAAAGTATGAGACACATTTTATAAAAATGATAATGTACTCTGAGTAGCTGCAACACATAGTTGAAGAGAATTTTTATAATAGCTTAGCCTACACCACCCCTTAATTGTGAAAAGAGGGCAAAACTGAAAATCAGGGTACAAAGTCTGACTAAATAATCTGTAATTATTTAATAAAACGATCAGGGATGGGGCCAGTACTCATCAACTTGGAGCCATGGCAAGCAGGACTAAAGGAAAAAGTAGAAGCAGATGTCCTTGCAAGAAAAAGAGCTTCCACTCCACTAAAAGGATATTCATACTACCATGTAACACCTTACAAGGTAGAAGATGAGACTGAGGAAATATTGATACTACCAATTGTAGCAATTGCAAAAGAAATTACAGAATGGATAAGAGGAAAAATGAAAAGATAGTCTTGACATGTTTCATGTCGTAGCACTGCTGACTCAATGAAGTGCTATTCTCTACCCAGTACATATAAAGGTTTTTTGGGACATACAACATTATCGTAGAAGAAATAGACGTAACCGTGCCCATTAGTCAAATTTCTCGTTGAATTAGAACTCAACAGTGTTAATTAAAGTACTGTAACTTTTATTTTGGTCTGTCTCCTCACTGTCTTGGTTTGTCATACGCGTTCGAATTTTCGCCAGTTCGGATGAAAACGACCAAATTCGATACAAATTATCAATATTTGTTCACTTTATATTTATCGGATGTCGACCTGTACCTTGTCTCACCATCATCATCATCATCATCATCATCATCTGGTCTTCTTATTTTTGATTGTTTAGTCTGTCAGGTCTTCAGTCGAAAATCTTAAAATGGCAATACTTAAATACGAAACCCCTAAGGACTAATAAGGATCTTCGAGAACATTCAAACGACAAATTTCACTTTTTCGCCCACTTGGAGTAAGAATTTCTGACTTTAGCACTTGAACTTTCGTCTATTTTATGATTTCTACTAATGGATTTCCGGAACATTTTCTTTTATTTTTTGTCAAAACGTAAACATTCTTGTTAGGGGTTTGGTACTGATGTCTTCATTGATCAGGAATGACTTTCCTATCCTTTTCCTAGCTATTGGGGAGTATTTGCATAGGATATGTTGTTCTTGCCTTCTAGACATAATCGAAATTGGTCATTTGTCAATAATCCAATTTTTAAGCTACATGTCATGTAAATGTGCTAGTTAGAATTGTCAGTTCCTTTCTTTTAAGTAGGATTTGGCCTTTTTTGGGTTGTTTTTTCGAGTAGCCTTTTTGCTTGCTTCATGCCTGGTTTTGCCTGCTCCCGGTATCCGTCGTGTTATTTAATTACCTAAGATTCCAGTTCTTTTTTAATGTCTGTACTTCTTGCCACAAAATTGAATTTGTTTATTGTTATTGTTTATTTTTAATTAATTAAGGTTTTGGTTGAGATAAAAAAGTCAGTGCCACAAGCGGGATTCGAACCCACGACCTTCGGCTAAAGACGCCGCTGCTCTACCACTTGGGCTATCGTGACTTCAATCCACTCGGACGCTAATGACCCTAATAAAATGTGATAAGCAAAATGAAGTATACTTCACTAAAGCTCTTCGTGGCCATTTCATTTGTCGCCGAGAATCAAATAGATTACACGACATTTGAAAAATGGCAAAAGGAGGGAAAATTCAAAAGGTGGGGTTGAGATGGGAAGTTAGTGTCCGAATGGATCGAAGTCACGGTAGCTCAAGTGGTAAAGCAGCGGCGAATTTAGCCGAAGGTCGTGGGTTCGAATCCCGCTTGTGACAGTGACTTTTTTATCTCAACCAAAACCTTAATTAATTGAAAAGAATTAATATGGTCAAGCGGACCACGGAAGCCTAATAAAATGTTACTGTTTATGTTTATGTACTGTTACTAATTTTTATTTATTTCATGTTTGTTTGGTTAGGAGTTCGGCTTGAAGATAGGGTTGGTGGGGCCGAGCCATGTAGTGCTCAATGTTAGGGACCTTTTTGCCCATTTCCCACCTTCCGCCAACTTTATGACATAGAAGAGCTCCAGATTTATATTTTTTCTTATTAGCTCTTGTTTTCATAATTATGAATTACTACTGATACTTTTAGCCATATCAGTTATTGTAACTTTGTCAAAGGTTGTTAGATGCTTTCTTTCCACTGTATGATATATCAATTTCTTAATCGCCGCCATCCTTTTCACATAAATATTTAGGTAAGGGTGGCAGTTCGAATATACATTCTATTGAGGTTGTAGGTGTTGTTTTTTAATAGCATGATGCTTAAGCATGCTACTGTTTAGACTTTTTGTAGGGTTTCCTCTACTTTTCTTTGTTTTATTTTTGTTCACCATATGTAAGTTGCCTAAGTTTTCAAGGATCTGGTCATCATAAGGTATGACCATATGACTACATAAGGTACATTGTAGCATTTAGCCTCTAAATTCTCCCACAAAATCTTTGGCATATCTACTATGCCTTTAACGCTCCATCGTGGATTCTTTTTCGATGTTAACTTCTGGTCAAAAAATACTCCTAGGTATGAACATCTTTAGAATGTTTTATTTATTGGTTTCACATGGAAAGATTGAGCTTCGTTTTTCTGGTGCAAGACGCAATTGTTGCTTTTGAAATGATTATACTTAGTTATATTTATTGCCACCACTTCAGTGTTCTATTTTAGGTTAGGTTTTACACAGAGGTTTAAAACCATTTAGGTTTTACACAGAGTTTGGTCGAATTTGCCACTAATTGTGTACACTTGTAAAACCTAATATGGTTAGTTAGCTTATGTAGTAGGTCGTCCACTACCAGTGACTATAAGGATGGTTAAAGTGCACCTCTTTGGGTGCAGCTTTCGTTTGTTTTAGTTCAACGTCAATGTCTTTTACTATAATTGCGCGATTTATTTATTAATGTGATTTTTGTTTCAGGTGTCGGGCTGTGGGAGTTAACCCTGGTCATGCTGGTGTTGGTGAACCTTGCCGCAGAAGGAGCAAGAAGGCATAGGAAACCTCCGGTCTGGCTCAACCCCTATAAGACCAATGACGTAAGGGTTGAAAGCGTGTTCAAAATAATTTAATGATTCAGCCGATAAATAATAATATGTGACTACCAATAAATCAAAATATAACGGCCTTGGCATTTTGTACGGACGACGATTTCCTTGTTCCACTCGCTAATGATCCGAAGCTTGAACCTACTTATGATATATTTCTTGTCAACTTGAACCAACTAGAAAATAGTTTTTATCTTATTTATTTAGTTTTTTTAACAGACCAAATTTAAAAACATTTTAAAAAATTAATCAATTTATCTGCATCAAAAGAGACTGGAGATAAATTGTTTAGACTTAAAAATTCACGATAAATTACGGTGGCATGCAGAAATAGTTTATATTTTAAATTATCAAGTAATATGTTAGTTTTTAAAAAGATCGGAACGTTTGTTTCAGTACTGGAAAGGTAAAAACCGTGGTAGCCACGAACCTCATGAAAGAAACCATGTCAGTCTGACTGGTCGAGGGCAGAGAGCGAGCCCTCGTCCTCTTCGAAGGCTAAGGATGCAAGTTATGATCACTTGGAATCACATCAACAGCTTTCCGTCCCTCTCGAAAATCATCTGCAACAAGGTAACAACATATATTATATTAGTAAACACAGGGACTTTATAACTTTCTAAACGAAGTACTTTTTTTTTGTATTTTTAGACATTTGATGAGAATATGTAAATTCTAGGTTTCTTCTTTGGGTCCGATCATCAGATATGATTGGCTGCCGTCTAATCAGTCCTTTTGGTACAGAAAACATGTAAAATGCATGGATAAAAAGAGTAAGGTAAATTTTCATTTTCGATTTAATACCACAAAGCAAATACCCGTAATTACGAATTTCGTTCTTTTTCCAGGTCACTATGCTTCTGCCAAAGTTACAGGATGGACTGCAAAGATTTTCCGCCTCTTTCGACAAGTTGAAATCTTACAGAAGCGGGCTGGGCCTCACTTTTGAATGCAGAACACGACGGCAGAAAGTTTTGGACGAAATTTCTGCCAAGCTTAATCAGGTAAGTCTAACTTGGATTTAGTGTTAGGCCACGGTTTCATCTTACGAAAACCCTCCTTCATTTATCAATGGTGTTATATTCGAATCGTTAATTTCAGCTTCTCTATGAAGTGGAGAAGACGATGGTCGATTTGAAAATGCAGAACGAAATGGCCTGGCTTGACGAGGAGGTGGCAGACAGCTTCATGCCCGACTACGGCAAAGACATGACGACAACGCAGCTCTACGATTGGGGAATCATTTCTTCCTACGAGATATACATCGCCGAGTGGCAGAAAATCATCAGGCAGGTCGTCGGTCCGAAAGGGAACGCCAAATGCGACAGAAACCATCACAATAAACTCAAACTACCTTTAAACTGATTTCATTTATTAAAACGGATTCGCCAAAACTCAATACAAGATGGTCTGATTATTTTATTTATTACTTAATCTCTATGTAAGGCATTGGTTGAGATAAAAAAGTCAGTGCCACGAGCGGGATTCGAACCCACGACCTTCGGCTAAATACGCCGCTGCTCTACCACTTGAGCTCTAGAAGTATAGTCGAAGGTCGTGGGTTCGAATCCCGCTCGTGACACTGACATTTTTATCTCAACCAATACCTTACATAAAGATTAATTAATTGACATATGTTATTTGGTCAATCGAACCACGAAATCTAATGAATTTATTTATTACATTCGATATATTTTGTCTCTTTCAATCCTAATCTTTAAACTTGTGTTAAATGGAGGAAGCTTCACACTTCTTTTTCAAAAAATTAGGTTGAAGGTTTAAATTTGAAATTTGTCTTAAATGTAAAACAATTACTATTATTGATGTTTTAACTGGAAGCAAACTATTATTATTATATTATTATTAGGATAGTTATTTTAAATATATCATTTTTAATATTAAACGGATGGGATGCTAGAAATCAGTAAATAATTCTAGTCATACAGTATTATATTCCAATTATCTTAAGATTATATTTTTTATATTATGATTTTAACCATTAAAATCGTTTAATTATTTAATGTAATGTGTGTGTACTTTATAAATTGCTAATTACATTTTGTTTGAAGAAGAGTTATCATTAGAACGTGTAATGTTAGGAATTCTAAGTGTAAAAATGTTACGTCATTCGCTCTACTCATGACATATTTGTGTATTTTGGTTATATATCATGGTAAATAATGTAAACATTTTATTTATTTATTTATTGTGTACTGCATTTGTTACAAATTATAAAGGTGAATATTGGCAGAATTGTTAAGACAATATATATTGAAAAACAAAAATTCTACTTTTAAGTATTGAATCTTTGTGGAGACCGCCACACAAATGGATCTAAAATGAAAAGAGTAGGGGCAGGAATCATTGGGCCACTACGATCTAGCGAAACCTCTAGGCCCCACACCATGCGAAGTAGTCTTCAAAAAGTATTAAAAGGTGCCCAGATATGCTATTCTCAAACAGCCAAGCAGCACTGAAGGCGTTAGGTCCAAACGAGGCGTTTTTAGTTGATGATACTGACTATAACACAGTTTATATTCTTTAAATGTTTTATCAACTCTAAAGAATTTTTAATACGAATGTAGGTTTAAAATTAGTGTGGGTTTTAATTATTTTATCCATTGTTATCGCTAATTTGTGGCTTGGAGAATTATATAAGGACACTACGGATCTTACAGGTTTATTTTCTTTATGGATTTTGACCGTATAACATTGGCGTTTCAGGTTCATTGGTATGAGTTTTTAATCGCATATTGGTCATTTGAGAATACAAAAACAGCATTTTTGTAGCAGTTTGAACTCTAGTTTTTAATTTTAAAGGTCTTTTCTATTTATTTACAATTGTTATTGTTTTCGGTGTTCAATCATAACTATAATATTTCCTTTATCGGTTTTTAAAATAACGTTGTTGTTACTTTTTATCTTTGAGATATTTAATTTTTTGCCGTATAGTTTTAACAAGTTTGGTTTAATTACTTCATCACTTTTATAGTTTAAATTTGTATTTATTTTACTACGATGAACCAAGGTAGCTTCGTTTTATCTAGTTCTATTTTTTGGACAAATTTTAGGCCTTTATTTAATACCTTCTTTATCTAGGACCATGTTTGTTAAGTTTATAATCCTTGGTTTTGGTTATAAAATTTAATTGGAGTTGTTTGGTCTTTATGATTATTTTTAAGTACACAGTACTTCGTGTTTTTAATTTGTTATCCATGTTTTTTTGTTTTTTTTTATCAGTCTTAAATTTAACTTTTGACCGTGTTTCATAATCGAATTTATCCAAATCTACTGCAGACAATAATGAGTTAAGCTAATGCGAACAAGATAATGGTAAAAACTTTTTTTTTCTCTTTGACTATATAATCGTTATCAAATAAGTTTTTAGGGCATTTACGTTGTAACGGAGTTGAATAGTTCTTTTTATTTAATTTAGGAAGTGTTATAATCCATTAAATATTTTGACTAGCCAATTAAGAGAAATAATCCATTTACATTTAATAGTCATAATTGACTGTATTAATTATTTTAATTAATTATACTTTTTATCTAAGATAATTTGGTTATGATGGAAAAGTCATGTCAGGGTCGTTGGGTTCCCCAACTCAAATTTTATTATAATATTTATTATATTCTCTTTTTTTTCATTTTGTCTTCCCTTTATTATTCAACTTTTACATTACTTTAAATTTTTCCATTTATTTCACTTTTCCATTTTAATTTTGTCATTTGCCTTTATTTTTCGTTTTCCATTCTAATTTAAACTTTTTCATTTAATATTCCACTTTTTTTTAATTTGATTTTCACTTTTTCCATTTTAATTTTGACCTTTTTCGTTATTGTTCCTATTTATTCATTTTAATTTTAATTTTTCCATTTAATTTTCAACTTTTTAATTTTAGTTTCACTTTTCCTTTCAATATTCAACTTTTTCAATTTAATTTTGACTTTTCCCTTTATCGTTCGTATTTTCCATTACTATAATTTTTTCCGTTTATTATTTCACTTTTTCCACTTCATTTATCCACTCCATCATTTATCTGATTTATTCTTTTTCCATTTTAATGTAAACGTGTGTGTGTAGAGGCACTCTCAACACGACACACAAGGATGGCACAATTACACAGAAGACAAACACTTTGAGCCCTGAAGATGATCTCAATAAAAGATCGAAACGTTGGCACGATAAAGAAAATGTTTTTCTGAAACCTACATCACTCCCGGCCGCATCTCACGATATCTGAATAACTTTAATGTAAACTTTGACATTTAATATTCCCCTTTTTTTATTTGAATTTTCACTTTTTTCCGTTTTAATTTTGACCTTTTTTGTTATTTTTCATATTTATTCATTCTAATTTTCACTTTTCTATTTAATTTTCAACTTTTTAATTTTAATGTCACTTTTCCTTTTAATAATCAATTTTTTCATGCTTAAACTTTTTCGTTTAATATTTCGCTTTTATATTTGAATTTTCACTTTTTCCATTTGAATTTTGATCTTTTTTCGTTATTGTTCATATTTATTCATTTTAATTTTGATTTTTCCATTTAATTTTCAACTTTTTAATTTTAATTTCACTCTTCCTATTAATAATCAAAATTTTTTATTTTAGTTTTGACTTTTCCATTTAATATTCAACTTTTTTCATTTAATTTTCCCTTTATAATTAAAATTTTTTCCTCTACTTTAAATTTTTCCATTTCTTATTTCACTTTTTCCGTTGTAATTTCGTCATTTTCCTTTATTATTCGTTTTCCATTTTAATTTAAACATTTTCATTTAATATTCCCTTTTTTATTTGAATTTTCACTTTTTCCATTTTAATTTTGACCTTTCTCATATTCATTCCCTTTTATTTGAACTTTTCCATTTAATATTCGACTTTTTAATTTCTACTTTTGCTTTAATATTCAATTTTTTCAGTTTAATTTTGACTTTTCCTTTTATATTTCAATTTTTTTCATTTTAATTAACACTTTTCCATTTAATATTCAACTTTTTCATTTTAATTTTAACTTTTTTTTATTTTAGTTTTAACTTTTCCATTTTATATTTAACTTTTTGGAGAAAGGTGGAAGCTGTAAAAAGGATGAAATTACTCTTGAATTTAATTAAATCACTCACAATCTAAACTCAGATTTAAAAATGTATACAGGAGCACAATTAAGATTGATTGTTTAAACAAATGAGTCAATATTCGCCTTGCAGTAAAGTTTTTAATTGTTTTTATTCCAAAAGTTACTGCTTTTTAAATATCTTCTAGGTATTTTTTTCTGTTAAAAATAGTTACAATTAGTTGTCTTTTTATATATTGTATATATTCGCCTTATAACTTTTAATCATAGTTTATGGTTAATTGCTTTTCAACTCGCCTGTCCACAAAAATATCCACAAAAACTCTATTTCATTCTGGGTTGTCGAATGAAAAAATATTAGACCGGATAAGTCTGGATGTAAAAACGATAACAGAAACTAATACAGACTGAAATAATAAAATATGAGTCAAGTAAAATGGCAGCGTCGTTGGGCCGGAACGGCATAGAAGCCGATTCAGTATCAAAGACAGGGATTGGTGGCCCTCCTTTTAACCGTGGCATAGAGTGGGGAGTATGCTCTACCGATTCAGGATAGGCCACACTCGGTTGACCGGAATACCTACCTTACTATACAATCACTTTAGAATAATCCCCGCTTGAAGATATATTTCGTAATAACCAGTGCAACGTCAATTAATAATCAAAAACTGTTTTTCACCCGGTTTCATTCAATAGACGAGTGTCTAATGTTTTCTTTGAAGAAAAAAAAATTGTAGTTGTCTATTGCCATTTTTTCACCTGTTGTGATATTAAATATATTAAAACGTTCAATTAAGAAGGTCGTGTACTTTTCAGCGAGAGTAGTCATTTTCAACCTATTTTGTCAAACTTTCTTGAAATTTATTACTAAGTGCTATCAGAGTGGATTGAAACAAGTGATTAAATTAATAATTAATTAATGAACTAGTTTTTGTTGATTGAATTCAATTCAGTAACAGAAGTGTAGCAATTATGACTTAATTAAGATTAATTTTTTAATCCCGTTGAGTACAGCGTTTAATGTTCGTTAGTGATTAAGAAAATCGGCGTCATTAAGAACTATGATTAGAATATGCTTTATGGTGTAGGTTGTTTTTTATTTAAAACACATTAGGATACACTCTACACCTGTCATAAGACCAATGTTGGTGTGGTGGACTAAGACCATGCTAGCAAATGCGATCAGACCTTGCCTCGGTGTCACTGGAGTCATGAGAACGACGCCAACTTCGGCCTTGGAGGTGTTGTTAAACTTTCCACCGCACCATAATCTAATCCAAGGAGAAGCCAAAACAAAGGCTCACAGGCTAATAAAAGGGCAACCAATTGCATGGAAACTGAGGGAGGAGATACAAGTAGATGCTGTACTAAAGCATGCCAATTGATGCCGCTTTTCCAAAATATATTTTCGCCTACAAGTACAAGGTACTTTACATTAGAATGGCCAAAAAAGTGGGCCAAAGGAATACCTCGAAGGCCAATTCCTTCTGGTATACTTTTGAGTATTTGATGGTATTTTCATTCGTAGTTATCCCTTTTTGAATGTGTTTTTTAACTTGAGGGTTTAGGAAGCTATCACTATGTGCATGAGTGTATGCGCAGGCATGGTCTACATAGACCCACATGGCTGATCTGGAATAACTCCATAATGAATTTATGACCACCATGAACAATTTTTCAACATTAGCATTTTACATCTAAGTAATTCTCGATACTTCTATATTTTTAAAAAGATTCTGTTATAAAGGAAAGTATATAAGTTATAAAACTTTTATACTTTTATCAATTGTTTTGATGAAAGGCTCAGCAAAGGGAGAAGAACTTTTACGAAAGATTGATGTTTTTTGGAGTACAATTTTGAGAGGAAAAATTGGTGAATGTTGCAATAGATGGATCACTAAACATGATTGGAAAAAAAATTGGACTCATCAAATGCATTGAAGATAAAATTTTTGAAATTGATCCAAATCATAAAATTATACCCATACACTGCCTCATCAACATGCACTATGCAAAAATATTTTAAAAATTTACTTCGATCAAAAGGATTAAATCACAGGAAATTTATTGATCTTGAAGAACTAAATACCAGTCATTTAGATGTGCTATATCACAATAAAATCCGTTGGTTAAGTTTGGGAAAGGTTTTAAGATGTGTATGGGACCTTGAAGAGGAAATAAAAATATTTTTAATGCTTACAGAAAATGAGGAATTTCCTGAATCCTAGATCCAAATTAGATTTGTGATTTAGCATTTTCTTTGAATTTGAACAAATTTAACACAAGTTTACAAGGGAAAAATTTATTTGCTCATGATTTCATACAGAAATTAAGTTTTAAAATGAGGCTTAGCATTTTTTCTACAAATCTAACTGAATGCAAATTTGATCATTTTCCTACGTTACAAACTATATAGTTAAGTATTTTAAAAGGTTCAACCATTTAATAAAAATATTCTTGCACTAATGACAGATTTCGAGCGGAGATTTGATTGCTTCAAAAAATTAATAAAATTGTATTTATTATTCTGAATCCATTTTCTGTACAAGTTGATGACGTTCCTGTTGATATACAATTAGAAATAATTAATTTATAATGTGATTATTACATGAGAAATATCGAGAAGAGCAAGAAAATTTGTGTAATTTTTATAAGCAATTGAATAATGTAAATTAAGTACTTTAGCTCAACTTATATCGGCGAACAAACCTTTTCTTTAATGAATCTAAATAAAAGTATAACAAGATCAAGATTGAATTATTTACATTTGGAGGCTGTGTTAAGAATAGCTACAAGTATAGAACCAGATATTAAAAAATAAATAAAAAGCAATGCAATCCACCTCAACATGTCACATTAGATATTATGTTAATTTATCATACTGATTTACTTACAATTATCCATAAATAAATTTCATAATAAAATTTTGTTTACTTAAATAAATGTTTTGCTTAACATTTTTCAATTTTAATTGTAAAAACTTTTTTATTTCATTAGCTTTATAGATCAGGCTAATCCTCGACATTAATATTTCGTCCAGCCCATGGAAAAAAAAAATTCCGATCTGGCCTGGAGGCAAATACAGTTGGCCAAGCCTGGTATAGCAGATTATTTTGTTCGTTATGACTGGCCGGCAACTACAATGGAATTAATTTCTAAAGAACTTTTAGAAATTTTGTAAAATTTATCTTGTCAAAACAAAAACTTTGGTTTAACATAAAAGTTATATGTGGTAGGGCAAAATTAATGCATGTTTTGAAAATTTGTTTTATTTTTGCAGTGCTCATCGGACAGTAGGGTTAGGATAGATCGAGAGGTTGTTGTAATGGAATGTACATGGAAAGTAGATGTAATGGAATAATAAAAAAACAAAATGTAAAAGTTGTTTATTTGAAACTTTGCCAAGGAAAAATAAAATGCATTATTTGACATCATTTCTTTATTTCACTCTACAGCATCTTTTTCTTCACTAATGGCATCTGGAACAGATCAGTTCATTGACAAAATGATTGTTGAGGGCAGTGTGGATATGAGGTTGGTAATGTAGTAAGTTTTGACTATTTGTCTTAGGACTTTTCATTGGAATGATAAGATGCGGTGGAGATTGGATGGCATTTCCACACAATGTCCAAACTGGTCGCAATAAAGTTAATAAGGTTAGTTTAGTGATTACAATCGAGACAGATTGTAGTCCTTGATTTCTTCGTCAAGTTGTCCACATATGTTCAGTTGTCGTCTCATAAGACTTGTGTGGGGATTTCATGTTTCTCTGCTGTCTAGGTATAATCATAAGAACTTGAAGTATTTGATTTTGTTGTTGATGTACAGTTGAGGGCAAGAGTTTTCTCAATTGAATGAACACTAGATTTTTCTTGAAATTGGATATTAGTGCTAGCTTGGAGAGAATTCGAGTTATAGTATTGTCAGTTTGTAATGATGGTGTTAGGGTGTATTGGTCAGCAGTATAAATGATACAAAGGATAAGACCAAGAATGGTCCCTTGTGGGAAACCAGCAAAAAAGTAAAAATCACTGTCATACAAGAGTTTATGTTAATTACCTGGCAGGTGGTACACTTGACACAGCTTGCTCAATTTAAACACGTTTTCTGTTTAGATATATTTGTTAGTTATAACAACATGATTTCCATTGTCGTATCTATAAACCACTATATAAGATGAATGGTATAAAATAACAAGGGGTCACCGATTATCGCAATGATACATCACATAAATACATAAGGATAAAAACAATCTTAAAAGTAGATGTAATGGAATAATAAAAATAACAAAATGTAAAATTTGTTTATTTGAAACCTTGCCAAGGGAAAATAAAATGCACTATTTGACATCATTTCTTTATTTCACTCTACAACATACATATTCTCACTTTATTGCAGAAGGTAAACTATGAAAAATTAATCAATTCCTTTCTGTCTTGAAACTCGGATTAGGATTAACACAGTCTACATGGTATTCTTATCAACATTAATTAAACTTTCATATTTCGTGAATTTTAAATTAAAAAATTGGAAAAGTCGTCATCTATATTTTATACACCATGTTGAAACCCAGCTTTCCCTCATAACATTACTTACTTTTATCCAGGCTTCTGCAATTTGCTGCTGTCTAAAAAACATGATGTTTAGTCAACTTCTAATGGATGAGGGGTCATAACATAATTTTACACTTGACCGATCAAGAGTAAAAAAAATATAAATAAAAACAAGGGCAATGCTTAAAGACGGCATTTGTTCAATAGATAATTGATTTCTTCATGGTCACAATGAAATGTTTTCAAAACTTCGCATGAACATCAATGAAGGTACTGTACTCCCAGTTGATGCTGAACAGTTTGACTGCATAAAAATTAATCTAATGCCTTATAGTTTACCTTCGAGTACTTGATCATTCTGAGCATAGGCTGTCAAAAAAAAAATTATTTACATAAATAAATCTGGGGGCAAAAATATTCTTTAAATAAAACAATATACATCTTAATATACATAATTACATACAGTTGAAATCATTCTGACGCAAGGGACACTATTTACAGAGCATGAATTGAACACTTTTACAAATTAATTTTGTTATTAATAATTTTTATTAATCTCTAAGACTATGTACAATTTTTCAATGAAAGAAAGGAAAAACATCATTATTTGATTTATTTTCATTTGATGATCACAAGCTCATTGTAATTAGGACGGAAATAAATTAAGTTATGAAATATAATTTAAAAAAAAAACAAAAAAACCTGTACTGATGTTTTTCTCTTCTTGAGAGAAAATCGTTATATTTGTATTAAAAAAAATTCCCACTGTTTGGAAATTAAAAATAATATACAAATACAAAACCGAAACACAAAAGAAGAACGTTTCTTTACAGCTTACATCTATAAATTCAGTCATATTATTTTTAACATAATTTTTAGAAAAGTAATTTATGCTGTAAGAAAAGAAGACACTAGTTAAAAACAAGAAACCCCTGAGCACCTTGTTTGTCCCATATCAAAATTTCAGTTTTTTTGTTTGTTTTTTTGGCTTTAGTACCCAACTTGGAGGATGACTCTTTCAATCATCGTGTATCCTTTCGTCTATGCCATCGCTTTCTGTGATGAGGGCCCTCTCGAGAATGACTCGCCCTTCCTTATACCTTTGATTTTCTTCTGTCGCAAATTCATATATCCAGCCAAGCTTGGCACTGCAATTTTTGCAAGAGACATCCCTTACCATATGTCTTCCGGTAAGCATGACTCTGTCTTGAACCTTGCTGCACAGACACAAGAGAAAAGAGGTCATTTATCGACGAACTGAGCGGGAGTATTCATCACGCGACTTACCTGCATTTAATGTTGACCACTTTGTTAAAAAGGAAAGCCCGCCCTGTCGCTCCTGTGAATCTTGTGCTGATCAGCTCGCCCCTGTTGGTCAAGTTGGCATCACAGGATGCGCAGGAGAACAGCCTGGCTCCACCTAGATGTTCTAGAAATATTCTACCCATCTGGAAACAACAGAGAAACAGACTTGTAAGTAAAGAACCTATTAGAAAAAAATATAGAACAAATGACAATGTAAAAATTTAGCTAACAGTGATTTAGATAATAAGAAAATAGCCTGCAACACATGTATATTAAATGGAAAACTAGAATAACAATTAAATTAATATTATATGAGACATTGTTCCCTTACAATATTCTGTTTAATTTTAATATATAAGTCTATATAACAAAACAGTACCAACTCCCATCCATAAGAAAATCTGTGGCAGCATGTAGATATCACAGTAAATTAAGCTATAAATTGTTTATGTAATGCCTCAATCTGAATCATCCAGTACCAGTCGATCAAAATGAAGCAGAATATGCCTCTCATACGCAATCTTAGACATTTTACAATATTCTTCACTTAGTATAGAATGAGAAAAAGTCACTAGGTGAAATTGCCTTCATGTATTTCCTTAATTAATTTCTTTAATAATATATTAAGTAATCATACACTGGGAACTGTGGTAGATGATTAGTAAGCTGATTAACTGGTCAGACTCTCGGCTCTTAGACCAAACAGAAGTGGGTTCGATTCCCACAATCACTTCTGGAAATTTTGACCCATCTCTACCCCAAAAATTAATCAACAATACCTACAGAAGCTTGGTTAATACCCAACAACTTGGAATGAAAATAAAATTTAAAAAAATACTCATTCTAATATTTCTGAGGTTACACATAAAGCTCCAGTTTCCTTTTTTTTTCTCTTTTTTTTATTCTTCTCTATATAACTAAACTATAATCTACATGAGAAAATTTGAATTGAATGGTAATTATTAAGAATAAAACACCAATCACAATAATACATTTCAAATACAAATGCATGTACATCTGACCAATGTCTTTTATCATGCAGGATTGCAATCTCTGATTGCCAGTACGTTAGTAATGTTTATACATTATGACATTTCTGCTTCTGAAGTTTATGTTTCCTTTATGAGCTTCTCAATGAAAAATACTTTTTCTTTATGAAGATCAGTGAGTCGCACAAACCAGAAGGTTTACAACACTAATCAACCAAATCACCAGTCCTGCTTTAAATGTTAGTGCAAGCCTATATTATATTTTTCATTCTTTTTCTTTTTCTTCACTTCAGGGAGCATCATGAGGAGAGGAGCATAGAAGAGATAAAGAATTAAAGAATTACATATATGTAGAAATACTTTGCAAAAGAGTGAATTTGATATGTACAAAAGTGAACTTAACTTAATTTGAAAGGGGTAAATATGATATGCAAAATGGGGGCTTCGCTTGCTGCATAACCGTTTAGGCATTGACACTGCACATCCCTATAAAGTAAGGGTCCTGGGTTCAAATCCAGCAGCCCTGCATTTGATTTTTTCTTTCTTCTCTCTTTTTTTTCCACCGGCACTCCAAGGGTTCAAATAACCTCGTATTTAGATACCCTCATAAAAAATAAATAAATATGTGGTGTTTAGGGACCATTAGTTAATGATTATTTGGAGATCGTGAGGTGCAATCTCGTGTGATGTAGGTTTTAGAAAAACATTTTCTTTATCGTGCCAACGTTTCAATCGTTATTTAAAAATCCCGGGCCTTGAAGATGATCTCAAAAAGATGGCACGATGAAAAGAAAATGTTTTTCTAAACCTACGTCACACCAGACCGTACCTCACGATTAAATTAAAAAAGTGAGTCAAGTTAATTTGCAAAAGAGTGATGTTGATACACAAACTAGTAAATTTAATTTGCAAAAGTGTCAAGTGTGAAATTAATCTTCAAAAGGGTGCAATTGATTTGCAAATGAGTGTCTTTACTGGTTACTAGTTTATATAAGCTCAATTCTGCACACAGATGTACATTCATACACATGTTTACAGAGTTGAGCCTATGACTTCTTGCAATCCGCCAGCAATTGCAGTTTTTGTAATTGACAATAAATTTCAGGCAGCCTCAAAAATCACCAACCCGGGTGTTGGTAGTGTACAGTCATACCTCGGGTCTTATCCATGCAGCCACCAAGGTAGGGTTCTTTCTGGATGCTAACAACATCATACGTCATTGCAGCCCCCAACACAATCTGTTCCTAAATCCATTCATACTCTCATTCATTCCTAAATACATTTTTTCCTATTTATTGGACTGGTTCAAAAATAATTCATAATTGGAAAATGAAGTCAAAACTATTTTTAATTTTTATAAAATATATATACACTCAACACGACACGCAAGGATGGCACAATTACACAGAAGACAAACACTTTGAGCCCTGAAGATGATCTCAATAAAAGATTGAAACGTTAGCGCGATAAAGATTATTATTTATATTTATTTTTATTACAATCTGTAATTATTATTTACAATATGTAATTTGCAGATACATGAACTTATGTACAACTATTTACATTGAGGGGAGAAAATAATCAATGTTATCCTCCCTCTTCACTTTGTTTATGTTTTTTTTACAGTTTACTCGGAAAGGAGGTCGCGGGGCCATTTCCTCTTAAGACACCTTATGGAGTTGTAGGGATGGGTTCTATCGGACAGGGCTTGGGCAAGACTATTTGGATGGTGGGAGAGTTTTTTGTGAAACTTGGTAAATTTTTGGGGAATAAATTTTTGGATATAAGGAATTTGAAGGTCGTTGTGGAGGGTAGCATTTGAGACATAATAAGGAGCATTTACAATGGATCTGAGAACTTTAGATTGAAAGGATTAGAGATGTTGGATATTGGAAGGTTTAGCGGTTCCCCACAGTTCTATTCCGTACGTCCAAATCAGTTGTAGTAGTGTTTTGTAAATTGTAAGTTTGTTTTTTGTCGATAGTTTAGACTGTCGTCCTAAACAAATAACTGTGCAGTAGACCATATCGTCTGTTTAGGTTTTGTCGTGTCAGTCGTGTATGTTGATTCCACGTTAGTCGTGAGTCTAGGTGGAACCCAAGGTAGAGAACGCAGTCGGATTTGGGGATAGGAACGTTGTTGTAGTATATCGTGAGAGGAGGTATAAAATAAAGAAAATTTATTTGAAATATTTTCCATCACAATCTACACATCTTTTCCAGCATGTAATAAGCGCTTTTATTCTGCTGGCATAAAATTTTTTATTTCGACTCACAACAAAGACATGGAAGGTGTTTGCGGTTCACCACATTCTCTAGAAATGTTATCCCTCAAGAAGCGATCAAAAAGTGGAAGCTTGCAGGCGAGAGGTCGAGTGAATAGGGAGGGTGCAATAAGTCCACCCCTTAAGTTTATAGCCCTTAAGTTTCTGTAGGGTTGGCATTGTGACATGTGGCCTGACATGACATTGCAGTTTCCTGTGCAGTTTGTCAATATTTCTCTGCTGTGATAGTTTGACCATTATTCAGGAAATTAAAGTCAACAACCCCAGCAGTACACCACCAAACCTTTTTTGGGTGCTGATTTGTTTTTGGGGAGTGTTTTGGCACTTCATCCTTCCAACCACTGACCTGTACGCCTCCTGTTATCATATAGAATCCATTTCTTGCGTGATGATTTGATCAAGAAATGAATCATTTTGATGGCGCAACAGAAGAGACATGCAAATTTCAGATTTCTTTGGGCTTCGGTTAGTTTGAGTGGTACCCTCTTGTCGAGCTTCTTTACCAATATATATCGATGTCAAACAATGGTTGAGAGGTCGACACTACGCTCTTCCATAATTTCCTGTGTTGTCTTACATGAATTTTCTTCAATCAATGTTGTGAGTTAGTCATCATCTACAACAGAAGGCCTAATGCAACTTTCTCTGTCTTCGAGATCAAAATATCCAAGACGAAATTTCTTAAACCATCGCTGCACCATGTTTACATTCAATGCTTCCCTCCCCTAAACTCTATTGATGTTACACACAGTTTGGGCCGCACTTTGTCAAAGTTTAAATTCGTACAAATAAATTCGGTGTTTGGACATCTTTAATTTCACAGGTTCTCACTCTTATAAAATTCAATATAAACTAAAACATTTTGTAAAAAAGATAACATTTAAAAGTATTTATTGTAATCCATATATTAGATTTGAGAATTTATCTTTGTTTACATGACAAACACCTGCAAAAATAAAACAAATTTTCAAAACTTGCATTAATTTTGCACCAACCCAATACATACCGTTCACTCAGAGGGTGGTGGAGTACTTGATATCCCTCCATCACTCTCTACAATAATTTATAAATAAACTAACTGAACGTCAGTTGGTTCTTAATATTCCATCATCGGCGTTCTCACACTATCCATTCATCCAAATAAATACATTGTCACAATATACACAAAATGGAACTGAAAATGAGATATCTATCAGTACTGCGTACAATAAAACAAACGTCTCCTCCAAAAATTGGAATAGGGAACCTAAATACTCGCTACTGTGCTCAAGCACAATACTCGTATCGGGCAGCATTCCTACACGCTCTCTATATAGAGCCAAGGAATGGCACCCTTCAATTAAGTGGGACACATCGAGCAACCGTTCTGTAAACCCAAGCCCAAAAGAGTGATTTTAATTTGCAAAAGGGTAAAATTGATTTGTAAAAGGGTTAATTTAATTTGAAAAACCTACATATACAGTTTTGTATTGTTATTTATAAAAAAAAAAAACCTACTCCTTCTGAATAAGTCTAAAAATATACAATAAAAAATTATAATAAAGTAAGATACAATTGAAGGGCACTGTGGAAAAACGATGAGGATCCATTTTTTGGCAGAACCGAGATTTCACCAGCATCTGTTGGCTTGTGACATTAACTATTAACCCGCCAAATGTGGCTAGGGAAAAACAATTAGATTCCACTACAAATCGTGTTTAAAATGGGCGGCACAGTGGAAGAACTATGGGACTTCTGTGCGCCTAAGGAAGAACGATGAGGATCCATCTCTCTGGTATTTAAAAATTCCTCAGAAATTCAGTCAGAACGCTTATAATTTTTTGTGACTCATGTGCAGAGCAAAATAAAAATTATACAGTTCTGCGATTCCTTCACCATCTCGCAACAGAAAAAGGGAGAATATAGTGTGTAAAAGTTTTCTTTCCCATCCGTGGCCTGATCAAAAATCCTATGTAGATATGCTTCAAGGATGGAGGGATGTGATTGGTCCGAGCAGATGCAAACCCTAACATTCACTGTTATTGATTGTAAGAGGGAATTTTTCAAATCGTGGACGAATTACTTAGTACCGATGTACAAACCGAAATGTCCCATCCCCACAAGAACGATTCGATGTTTGAAGATATCTCTTACACACCACAGTATATACGCCACCGGACTTCATTCTGTGGAGCTTATAACAAGCACGTGTTGTGGGTGCCACAAAGACAAAAAAATGGGGAAGAACCCCGCACCAAAACAGCAGCCTTGTAACTCCTACAATGGGCCCCTTCCATTAATTTGGAAAAATATAATGACTTGCAACACCTGAAAAAGTTTCTCACCAACAAAGTTGCCAGGAGGTTTTACAATAATTTGGTCACAAATAGAACTGCCACAGAAACTCAGGATGATGTTTATTTTGATTATGAGGTAGACGATGAGCAACGTAAAACTTTTTAGCTTAGAGCTTTTTAACTTTTTCAGTTTTGTTTTTACAATAATTAATCTAAAATTTTGACCATAGATATTTCAGAATTTTCGTTTCACTTGTCTGTTCATCTTTGAAATTAATAATAAAATTTCATAATCATAGTATTTTCTTATTCCTTCCTGGGTTCGAAATGAGGGTTTAATGGTTTTTGGATCATGAGAATTACTCAGAAAGAACTCTAAATTTATTACAATCATTAAATCAAACATCAAAAAAGAATCTATTTCACCAGTAGTCATGAAACTTTAAATTTAGTGTTTCTCAAATGATGGAAAAAATGGAACCTCATCATTTTTCCACTGGACCCTTCAATTGAAAAGAAAAAAGAAAAATAAGCAGCAGAAGAATATAAGCCTAAAATTTATTACATTTATTAATATCACAACTAGGGTTTAAAACTTTATTTTACAAGTTACAAAACATCAACCTCTCTGAACCAACCCCCATATTATTATCATTATCATCAAGAAAAAAGTGGCTATGTGACATATCTAGTATTATTTATTTTATGTGAGTGAAAATGTGTCATGTAGAGAACACAGTAGCCTGAAAAGCTTGTGAATTGTTAAATCCTGTTCAACTTGTCTAAATAGTGCACATCTCAATATCCGCCCCTCAACAGCCCTGGAGTTGCAAATTTAAACAAGGTGTTGTTCAACTGTGACATTTCTTCTTTATGTCTGAACGATGAGCGCAAGCAACCGAAGCACAAATTTGATTTTGAGCTAGAACCAACTAAACACCAAAGCGAATCTTGATGGCAGATGACCTTTCTTCGGAGTGTTTGTTCATGGAGGATGAGGTCATACCGCATTTCTAATTGTGAATAACGTTGCACTCACCCTTGACAGAACTGTACAGATTTTTAACAAGTTGCCTCTGTATTTGAATACAAAGATTTTTGACTTATTTAGATTCTGCTAATATTCTGTACAGTCTTCAAGGGTACATCAGTACCCTTGCGCAGGTGATGATCACATCTGTATTATTTACCCAACACGCGTTTTACAATTGTTCAACAAATTTGTCATCAAATCGGACAATTTTAACAGTTTAGAGGCAAAGAGTAAACGAGGAAAATACATATTTATTTACCTCATGCAAAGGTTACTGTTCAGCTTGGCCTTTCCAGGGCCGAACGATTCTGACAGAGCAGCAGCAAGATTTATGCCTCGATGCCCTGCCTGATGATGCAGACGACGTGCACTGATGCCAGATGAAACGGTCTCTTCATCAGTGATACGCGTCTGAGTAGCATTAGGCCATTAGATACAACTTTACAGCTGTCTATTCACTATTCAGTATCACTTCGACGTTCCTGCACAGATGTTTTCACATCGATTTGAGGATGAGGAAAACATTTCGATGCATTATTGGATTCGAGACTTTTCGATACTCGATTCGATACTTTTGGTATGGTGTTGTGGAAAAAAAAGGTACAGATCTAAACAATTATTTAAAAATGTACATAATTATTTATTTTAAAGGTACATATACTTTAAGCCCCCTTACGTGTACATCTATCTTAGAAATAAATTTAGTTTGGTAAACATAGTAAAATATTTATAATGTCAATAATAAAGCATATAACACAACATACAAAACAATAATAAGTAGCCCTCGGAGTATCTGATTTGTAGAAGAAGGGTCATCCTCGCCGAATAAGAATAGGGCATGCGAGGTTGGCACAGGAGCAGTTCCTTTTAGGCCAACGCCTAAGTATGTATCCGGCAGAGAAAGGTTGTTCTGTGTCCCACCTAGTTGAAGAGTGCAATTCCTAGGCTCCATATAGAGAGCGTGTAGGAATGAAAATAGTTAGCTCTTCCCCATACTACGAGAAGTATGTGTGTGATGAGGAGTAAAGAGATTTTCTTTGATGGGGTGTTTCTGGTTGAGGAAGTGGCTAAACCATTTAATTGGGAGAGTGTCCAAGAAGTAAAAGGTGTATAGGTTGATTTTAGCATTTGGAGCCTGACTTGCAAAAATTTTTTTATGTAAATAATTATACTGTAGATGTAAAGTCAAAACTAAGCAACAACAATGTTTATTTATTTTTATTTTTATTTTTATTTTTTTTAATTTAGAAATCGTGAGGTGCGGACTGGTGTGATGTAGGTTTCAGAAAAACATTTTCTTTATCGTGCCAACATTTCGATCTTTATTGAGGTCATCTTCAGGGCCTGAGATTTACAAACATTGTTTATATATAACAATTACATTTTGGATGTGGAAAAGTGAATTTATACAATGCAAAATATATTTTTTATACATTCAATCAAAGTATTTCTACTCACTCAAAGTGTTTTTTGATTGAATATATAAAAAATATATTTTGCATTGTATAAATTCACTTTTCCACATCCAAAATGTAATTGTTATATGTAAACAATGTTTGTAAATCCCAGGCCCTGAAAATGATCTCAATAAAGATCGAAACATTGGCACGATAAAGAAAATGTTTTTCTGAAACCTACATCACACCAGACCGCATCTCACGATTTCTAAATAAATATCGATTAACGGTCACTAATCACCACATGTTTATTATTTTGTGGTAGGATTGTCTTTTTAATATTTTTTCTTTAGTTCAAGTAGATAATTTTAAGTCAAAAAAATTGAAAGACGTTTAAAAAATCTTATGCATATATAATTTATTTGTACTTGGTATGTTTTAGTCAAGCAATTTGTAAGAATATAATTGATAAGAAATGTTAAAGAAATTATTAATCATCTTTCAAACTATGATTAATCTTGTATGTAATGGTAATTTAGTTCCTTTTGTTCCAGACAAATTAATTATAATACTGCCAATTATTTAAATAAATCTTTCCATTGGAAATACAGATAAAGTCAATAAAATAAGTTAGTCATAAAAGTTTAGTGTTTTAAAGCCATACACTACTCAATGATTGTACAATCAATTGGTACAATTTTTATTAATAAGTTTGAAGATAACATTTGTTACTCAGCAAATTATCAATAGAAATGAAATGTAAAGCAATTTATTATTAAGAACATTTTTTTTATTAATCTATTATTCGTCGGCTGAATCGACATTTGTTACTAATCAAAATAAGCTTTATCGGCCCAAGTATTAAACAGTAATGAGCTAACTCAAATTACTCAGTTGTGCTCCTACTTCCCACTTCTTCAGTGTGCAGCCTTAGATAAACATGTATAAGAGGATGGCGATTTTTATTTTTTACATGATGTGTTTGGAGGTCAGTACAGATGTTTAACAATTTTTGTGAGAATTGAAATTTAAACCATTGCCAGAATAAATAACGTTTATGTTGCCTTGTGAAATTTCCTTCTGTGGTCTGTGGGTGATGTACCGGTCATTACTGCTATGATCATTGCTGATCATATTGATAGGCCAATCTGCTGGCTTTTTCACCACCTTCAGTATGTCTTCACACAGAGACACTGAAGATGGCAAAATGCCCAAATGTGTCCGACAAACCAGCCAGCGAGGATAGGCAGACCAAGGTGGTCAGTAAGAATCAAATTACAATTTCTGTTGCCATTTAGCATTATTGTAAAATACGAAAAACTTTACAATTAAACATTGGTGTTTTATTAGAGAGTGTGTATGCTATAGTTATACAAATACTTTTAATCAATTTAATGCTTTATTACTAAAATAATAATTCAGATATCGTGAGATGCGGTCGGGTGTGATGTAGATTTCAGAAAAACATTTTCTTTATCTTGCCAACGTTTCGATCTTTTATTGAGATCATCTTCAGGGCTCAAAGTGTTTGTCTTCTGTGTAATTGTGCCATCCTTGCGTGTCGTGTGCCACTAAAATAATGTTAAATTTTGGTAAAACTCAAATTTCTAAGTATTTTAATTAATTGTACTTTTAATCTAAAGTTTTGGTTGAGATGACAAAGCAAGTGACACAAGCAGGATTTGAACCCACAATCTTTGGCTCAATATGCTGCTGCTCTAACCACTCATGCTATTGTCATTTCATTCTAAGTATTATTAAAGTATGGCCTTTTCAAATCTTGGTCTGTCTACCGTTGCAGCCTTTGCCTGTCAAGTGGTTTTCTGTATATCTTCAGTACTGGGTTTGTTATTAATCATGAATTTTAAGTAATCTTTTGAGAATCAAAATATAATTCAAATAAATTAATTAAAAATTTTTAAAAGTTGTCAAAATATGTATATATTTTCATGAACTTAGTACATTATGCAAGATAAACCTTCAGCACTGAAATAGAAATGCAGAAACAGTGGAACTAGGCAGACCAGGGTTGGAAATGACCAAAACAGCTTACCATCCTGCAAACATTAACAAAAAATTTAAATAATTGTATTTGTTTTAATATATCTTATAATAAACTGCAATATTGTCAAACTCTTAACTCTTAAATTAAATAACAAAATCTTGAATACACAATTGTTTCTTTTAGATTTTGAAGCACTCGAATAGGTGCAACGCCTTACCTGTCCCAAAAGTCCTTCAGCAGACGTTTTCTAAAAAGCCCTTTAGTGAAAACCCGCCAAAATTTACTGCTTTTACCAGAGTCAAACGAGCGATACAGCTGGATTTAAAAAGGATAACGAATCCAATAATTGGGTCAATCAACAGAGGACTCAGTTTTATCGTTGCTAGCCCAATTTATAAAGAATTTTACAATGCTGGGAATAAAGTCAAACTTAAAAGTGTTGAAACAAATGATGCTATTGACAGCTATGTTCAATATGCTGTAAACAAAGTTTTTGCTCCTGTATGATATAAAAATATGTATTTAATAAATAATTACATTATATTTTGTTTTACTTTCCTTGCATGAACTTCCTTCAGATATGTATTTGTTAGTTGTTAACAAATTATTGATTTATTTAATGCTACACATATTATTTTTTACGGGGTAAGTTCAACGACCATAACACTACTGTGACCAATGTAGATTTATTGTGAAACCACTTTGGTTAAGACCATACAGTGAAAAGTGTGTATTTCCCCACAAAAATATGCGCTTTCATTGGGTGTCTATCTGTGCACTTCTCTTGGGGTTAGTAGCTATACCGTATATGGGCTAGTGCCTCATATTCGCAAAGAATATGTGCCAATGTCTCAAGTTTCTATTGACAGAGTTGGCATATATCTGTCTTGGCTTTGCCCATCTTCTTTGGTATTCTATATAGAGGCCCATAATTTTCCTCAAACCTTACCTGCTGAGAGAGAAGGCCTTCCTTTTTGAGAGATTATGAATCAGCTTGCCTCGTACCAGGTGCAAGTCAAGGGTCCAGTGCTTGAGCCTTTCTTTCTCAAGCAAATTTTTAACACACTATCTGCTGTGCCTTGTCAAGGTTCCAGCCCTATCGATGAGAGGGCCACCAGCCTTTCGTTTCCTTCTATACCATCATATCCCGGAATTTAATTTCTCAGCATAATCTGTCTTTTTTATGTAATGATTCTTTTGTCTTAAAATAAAAATAAAGTATAGATTTTGTTATTTATTTTGTATTTTCTGATTTGGTTGAAAATTAGGGAACAATTCATTCGATAGGGTGCTTTAATAAAAGAGTCTATGAACACAAGTGGTATATTTAAAAGGAACAAATGGATTCGTTGAAGAGGATTGTTAATAGGAATGATTATGTGACATCCTCATTATTGAAAAACTTGAATTTTTTGTTCAATTTATTATTTTTTTTAAATGACGTATTATTTTAATTTTTTTAAGGCAAGTTATTTTTTGAAATATTGTTTGAAAACGAGGTGCTGGACTAGTACTCAAAAAAGAGAAAGGAATAGTAGCAACGACAGTCAATGACCTAGTACTCCTTCAAATCGATGGTACTGAAATGACAGACTGAACTAAATAACTAGGATAGTACAAGAAGCTAGAAGACTGCAGTACTTGGAGATCCTAAACCCTCACTTCCTAGTCTCCTTTCAGCATCAACATCATCATCATCATTCATTTTGATAATAAGAGATCACATGGTAATGCCATGAAAGCTTGGATTTAAAAATAATGCCAAGATGTTTTATTTAGGACAAAAATTACTAGGGAAACAGTTGATATGAGGAGGGGATAGGGAATCTGTATTAATGGTTATTTTAATGGAAATTAATAAGGACTGGGATTAATATTGTAGTAAACAGAAAGGGGCCTAAGTATGATCCATGTGGTACTCCAAAGGATGCAAGAGAAGGAAACGCAAAGAAAACGAATAAATTGTAAAATACCAACTTCTTTATCACAAATCCTATTAATAATTCTTTTAATTAATTTAATAAAAATTGGACAATGGTAAACTGGGGGTAATTAAAAACATTAATATCTCACCAACACTCCCAACATGACACACAAAAGTGACACATCTACACGGAAAACACACACTTTGAGTGAGTACAAACCCTTTGATTAAACCTAAAATTTCTATTCTATTGTTATTAAATTTCTAATTATTATTAATTATTAATTAGTCACTATTATGGTTATTGTAATGGGAATTAATAAGAACTGGGATTAATATCATTAATGATGTCAAATAGAAAGGGGCCTAAGTATGATCCCTGTGGTACTCCAAATGCAAGAAGAAAAGAAATAAATTGTAAAATGCCAAATTCTTTCCCACAAATTTTATGTAAAAATTCTTTTGCCTTATAATAATAAAAACGAAGTATAATTTCTTTAGTTATTTAGTCTGTTCTGATGTGGTGGAAAATTAGGGAACAATCAATTCGACAGGGTGCTTTAATAAAAGAGTCTATGAGCAACAAGTGGTATATTTAAAAGGAACAAAAGGAATCGTTGAAGAGGATTGTTAATAGGACTTTATTATTAAATAGATTATATGGAGATAGTGAGGTGCAGTCTGGTGTGACATAGGATTTAGAAAAACATTTCCTTTATAGGGCCAACATTTCGATCTTTATTGAGATTATCTTCAGGGCCTGGGATTCATAAACATTGTTTAAATTTTACAAATACACATAGGTCGTGGAAAAAAGAAAAAAATGAAGTTATACAAAATTTTTAGATTCAATCAAAGTATTCGTACTCACAGAAATATCACTCATTTTTGAGTGAGTACAAATACGTAGATTGAATTTAAAATTTTTGGCATTTTATAAATTCATTTTTTTCACATCCTACATGTATTGTAAAATTTAAACAATGTTCATGAATCCCAGGCCCTGAAGATGATCTCAATAAAGATCGAAACGTTGGCACGATAAAGAAAATGTTTTTCTAAATCCTTCATCACATCAGACCGCAGCTCACGATCTCCATATAATTATTAACTAACGGTCACTAAACACCACACATTATTAAATAGAGTTAAATGAAATGCTTTAATTCATCTTTTTGTTCTAAGCAAGTTATTTTTTAGAATATTGTTTGAAGATGAGGTGCCAGACTAATACTCAAAAAAGGGAAAAGAATAGTAGCAACAACAGTCAATGACCTAGTACTCGTTCAAATCGATGGTATTGAAATGACAGACNAAGGCAAGTTATTTTTTGAAATATTGTTTGAAAACGAGGTGCTGGACTAGTACTCAAAAAAGAGAAAGGAATAGTAGCAACGACAGTCAATGACCTAGTACTCCTTCAAATCGATGGTACTGAAATGACAGACTGAACTAAATAACTAGGATAGTACAAGAAGCTAGAAGACTGCAGTACTTGGAGATCCTAAACCCTCACTTCCTAGTCTCCTTTCAGCATCAACATCATCATCATCATTCATTTTGATAATAAGAGATCACATGGTAATGCCATGAAAGCTTGGATTTAAAAATAATGCCAAGATGTTTTGTTTAGGACAAAAATTACTAGGGAAACAGTTGATATGAGGAGGGGATAGGGAATCTGTATTAATGGTTATTTTAATGGAAATTAATAAGGACTGGGATTAATATTGTAGTAAACAGAAAGGGGCCTAAGTATGATCCATGTGGTACTCCAAAGGATGCAAGAGAAGGAAACGCAAAGAAAACGAATAAATTGTAAAATACCAACTTCTTTATCACAAATCCTATTAATAATTCTTTTAATTAATTTAATAAAAATTGGACAATGGTAAACTGGGGGTAATTAAAAACATTAATATCTCACCAACACTCCCAACATGACACACAAAAGTGACACATCTACACGGAAAACACACACTTTGAGTGAGTACAAACCCTTTGATTAAACCTAAAATTTCTATTCTATTGTTATTAAATTTCTAATTATTATTAATTATTAATTAGTCACTATTATGGTTATTGTAATGGGAATTAATAAGAACTGGGATTAATATCATTAATGATGTCAAATAGAAAGGGGCCTAAGTATGATCCCTGTGGTACTCCAAATGCAAGAAGAAAAGAAATAAATTGTAAAATGCCAAATTCTTTCCCACAAATTTTATGTAAAAATTCTTTTGCCTTATAATAATAAAAACGAAGTATAATTTCTTTAGTTATTTAGTCTGTTCTGATGTGGTGGAAAATTAGGGAACAATCAATTCGACAGGGTGCTTTAATAAAAGAGTCTATGAGCAACAAGTGGTATATTTAAAAGGAACAAAAGGAATCGTTGAAGAGGATTGTTAATAGGACTTTATTATTAAATAGATTATATGGAGATAGTGAGGTGCAGTCTGGTGTGACATAGGATTTAGAAAAACATTTCCTTTATAGGGCCAACATTTCGATCTTTATTGAGATTATCTTCAGGGCCTGGGATTCATAAACATTGTTTAAATTTTACAAATACACATAGGTCGTGGAAAAAAGAAAAAAATGAAGTTATACAAAATTTTTAGATTCAATCAAAGTATTCGTACTCACAGAAATATCACTCATTTTTGAGTGAGTACAAATACGTAGATTGAATTTAAAATTTTTGGCATTTTATAAATTCATTTTTTTTCACATCCTACATGTATTGTAAAATTTAAACAATGTTCATGAATCCCAGGCCCTGAAGATGATCTCAATAAAGATCGAAACGTTGGCACGATAAAGAAAATGTTTTTCTAAATCCTTCATCACATCAGACCGCAGCTCACGATCTCCATATAATTATTAACTAACGGTCACTAAACACCACACATTATTAAATAGAGTTAAATGAAATGCTTTAATTCATCTTTTTGTTCTAAGCAAGTTATTTTTTAGAATATTGTTTGAAGATGAGGTGCCAGACTAATACTCAAAAAAGGGAAAAGAATAGTAGCAACAACAGTCAATGACCTAGTACTCGTTCAAATCGATGGTATTGAAATGACAGACTGAACTAAGAAACTAGGATAGTACAAGAAGCCAGAAAAGCTGCAGTACTTGGGCAGTATAAACCCCCACTTCCTAATGTTCTTTCATCATCATCATCATCATCAGACCTTTTGATAATTAATATACATGGTAATGCTTGGAATTAACAATAATGCCAAGATTTTTACTTTAGTACAAAAATTAATAGGGGAGTAGTTGATATGAGGAGGGAATAGGCCATGTGGCAATTAATGGTTATTTTTAATGGAAATTAATAAGAAACGGATTAATAAGAACAGGAATTAATGTCGTTAATGAATATGTTAAAAGAAAGGGGCCTAAGTATGATCCCTGTGGTACTCCAAAGGATTCAAGAAAATGAATAAATTATAAAATACCAAATTCTTTATCACAATTCTTATGTAATAATTCTTTTATCTTATAATAAAAACAAAGTATAGATTTCTTTAGTTATTTTGTTTGTTCTGATGTGGTTGAAAATTAGGGTCGATTCGACAGGGGGCTTTAATAAAAGAGTCTATGAGCA